TCATATAAAAAATATAAGATAATATGTCATTTATCACGTCATAAGCTTCGAAAACTAGAAACATTCGATTATTTTTTACTGTCATGTATTTCAATATTTGTATTAGCCGACAAAACGCCTAAATAAGACACTCGTATTTAATGGTTGTATTTAAACAAAACAAAAATTGATAATATGGAGGTATTCAACATTATTATTAAAATATCAAATCAATAATTTAACACCAGCAATATGTCAAACCCTTAATATTTTATATTACATTAATAATATTATGTGTTTAACATATGATTTTGTTTTTATTAGAATAATACAAATATTTTATAATTATGAAATATCGATTACCGATAGTGCAAAATATATGAATTATTATTTGCATAAAATAAAAGACTCATCATTAATATTGTTTAGGTAAGTAATTAAAAAATAACTTACGTTGACGAATGTGAACATTATTTTCTTTATTTTTTTCTCATAGTCCAAAATAGTTTGAAAAATTAACAACATAAATTACCTAAATGTGTGAACATACTGTTATGACGCAACGTCTTCTTTAAAAGGATAGACCTACAATTAAAAATTACGTTTTATAACTGAACGCACTTTACGTAATGGGATAAATTTTAACTTCAGCAGACGGTTGTTTCGAGCCGGTGTATTCGTTCGGTACTGGGGACTTGTACCTCATAATGGAAGTCGCCACCAGCGCCGTCACCGTTCTCGTGGTCCAATCGTTCAGATTTTGGTTACTACGGTAACGTTTTCATCATTACACTAAAACAATTTACGGTAGTTGAAGGTATTATGGTTCATTTTATGATACCACTGTCCGTATAACATAGTGCGGTTATTAACAATAACAATAAATTTTTATTATTTGTTGATAATTATTTATTTAAAAACTCAAATTTCTGTAATCTTTGATTAGTGAACTTAAGTATTGTGAATCACTGTTAATATAAAAAATTAGATAAACACATTTTCGATAACGAACAACAAAAATTATAAGACAAAAAAAAATGTCAGGGAAAGTAATAGAATATTATGAATTCGATTAAAATATGTTAAATTTATAAACAGAGCAAAGGGCATAATATTAAGGATTATATTAATATAAAATAAATGAAAACAACTACAATACTTAATTCATGGGATAAAAAATAAATAAATTATCAGTAGTAAATATCAAAATACATTTAATAAAAAAAAATCATAAAAATGTATATATAAAGTATATGAAGTTAAAACATTAAACATAATTATATAATGATAAGTGGTAACGATTATCGGTAACAATCTTAATTACAAAAACTCTTGAGCAATTTAAATAAGGCATACATTTGATTGGCTAATTTAAAAATCAAAATGGCTTTACAAACTAATAATTAAATTTCAAATTAACATTTAAGTTTAACGTTTCTTTTGAGATTCGGGTTGATTTTGTAATTCACGTAAAACGTCATCTTCTAAGCTGTCTAATGCATCTAAATTTTCATTTCCAATTTCATTTTTCAACTCCAATTTCAAATGACGAATACCAGACTCTACATCTCTCCTTTGAATATTAAAACCATTTAAAGCTGTAAAAAACCAAAATATTACTATACATATGAAGATATATAAATCAAAAAATGATAAATATTTAAATGATTTGGATACTAATTAAAGAGTTAGCTAATGATGCAAGAAATAAATGTCAAATTTACCTTTATTAAATAGATCTAATTGTTGCTGACCACCAAAACTATCATCTGTAGATATATACGATGGGTACTGGGTAGTCACTTCTTGTATGAATTTATTACTTTCTTGTTCATTTATCGATTCCAAAGGTGGTAGGTAGGTTGGTGGATATTGAGTTGAAGAAGGAAATTGCGGACACCTTGGATCTGGGGATCCAGGATAACATACCAATGATTCTTGAGTAGGACAACGTGGATCAGTGGAACCGGGATAACATAACGGTGGTGGAATAGGTTTAGGAGTTGAATTATTGCATACACAAACAAATGGTGTTTGAACGGGTGTAATTTGTGGACATCTTGGATCAGTTGATCCAGGATAACAGACTGGTGGAGCTGGAGTAGATGAAGATGGGTAGTATGTTGGTGGTGGTGATGGCTTAGGACATCTTGGGTCATT